GTTTTGCTCTTGTCACCTAGGCTGGAGTGCAATGGCGCCATCTCGGCTCACTGCAGCCTCCACCTTCTGGGTTAAAGCAATTCTCCTGCCTCAGCCCTTCTTAGTAGCTGGGATCACAGGCATGCACTACCATGCCTGGCTAATTTTTGCATTATTAGTAGAGACAGAGTTTCACTATATTCACCAGGCTGGTCTCTAACTCCTGACCTCAGGTGATTCACCTGCCTTAGCCTCTCAAAGTGCTGGGATTACAGGCCTGAGCCACTCCCCCCAGCACATTTTATGATTGTTAACATAGATTTATAATAATTGTCTTATGTGTTTGCCTTTTCTATTTTTTAGACAAAATCTTGCTCTGCTGCACAGGCTATAATGCAATTGTGCCATCATAGCTCTCTGCAGCCTTGACCTCCTGGGCTCAAACAATTCTTCTGCCCAAGCCTCCCAAGAAGCTGAGACTACAGGCACATGCCACCACTGTCAGCTAACTTTTAATTTTTTTTTCTTTTTTGTAGAAACAGGGTCTCACTATGTTGCTCAGGCTGATTTCAAACTCCTGGGTTTAAGCAATCTTCTCAACTTGGCCTCCCACCACCCCCAGCACTGTCAAAATTTGTCCCAGCCATATTTCCCTTTTAAATCTACCTCCCAGGCTCAAGTAGCTGAGACTACAGGTCCTCAGTAGTTGGGAAGAGGCACACAACACCAGGCCCAGCTAACTTATTTTATTGTAGATTCAAGGTCTCACTATATTGCCCAAGCTAGTCTTGAACTCCTGGTCTCAAGTGATCCTCCCATCTCTCCCTTCCAAAATGCTGATTATAGGAGCGAGCCACCACACTCAGGCTGTCCAGCTCTTCTTAACTTCTTTTGGTTTGGTTCTGGGCCTTTGGATAACCTAGTGAATCTGTCCCTTCATTTTAGTTTGAAAGACTCTTTTTTTTTTTTTTTCTTGAGACGGAGTTTTGCTGTTGTTACCCAGGCTGGGTAACAACAACCTCCGCCGCCTGGGTTCAAGCAATTCTCCGGCCTCAGCCTCCCGAGTTGCTGGGACTACAGGCATGCACCATCATGCCCAGCTAATTTTTGTATTTTTAGTAGAGACGAGGTTTCACCTTGTTGACCAGGATGGTCTCAATCT